TCCGTCGGTTCTCACAAAGTGTGCTCTCTGGGTGGAGCAGGCAGGGGCTTCAGTTGAGCCAGGTGCCTTTCCCTTTGGCTTCCTTCTTTTCTGGTTTTCCCTCCCACGGTTCAGGAAGCTGTCTCGGCTCTTAGCGTGCTTAATATGCTCAACGCGTACATTAATCCTCTTGGCAAGAATCTTGCCCTTGTTTGTTGCAGGGGTGGGGAACGTCTGGCCTGTGGACCATATGAGGCCTGTGAAATCATTTGGTCTGGTCCTGCCACGGCATTAGGGGTGAGTTATTTAAATGTTTGACCAAACATAGCAGGCTAATTCTTAAGTTGATAATCCCGTATGGCCTGCAAATGATGTTATAAATAACCAAATGGCCTTTGGCAGATAAAAGGTTCCCCACCCGTGGTTTATAACAATGCCCACTGCATGCTGGGTAACACTGTAGACTCTCCCAGTTTTGCCATGGTAATATTTGTGGGGCATTCCTTTTTGAACAGTGCCCATTCCCTTGATGTCTACAATATCACCTTTCTTGCAGATTCGCATGTATGTAGCCAAAAAACGAAAAGGCCTAGAGAACATATAGCCGGTGCCTGTCCTCTTTCTTTTTGTGTTAGTCATTTTGGAGAATTACTGGGAGATGGAGGTTCCAGCTGAAAAGAAAGGGTAATTGCTTTTATATCTTCCCTTTTCTTATCTTAGGAGGTCCTTTTCCCTCTCTCCCCTGCTGCAGGTCTGGTTGCCCCCACCCTTCTCCTTACTGCACAGCTTAAAAGGGCAGATCTGATTGTGACGCCCCTGCTGAGCTCTCCAATGACTCTCTAAAATCTTTGGGGTGAAGTCTAGAGCTCTCCTTGGTTCTGACCTAATCTACTACCTCCCAAGCCCACCATTTGTATAAGGAAGGAAGTACCTACTGAGCACTTTCTATATGCAAGGCTCTGTGCCCATGGGGGCGGGTGTGTGTGGGGAGGCGGCGGCGACAGGTACTAACCGACAAGACACAGTCATTGCCCCAGAGTAGTTCACAACCCAATGAGCAGATAGGACAGGAATTCATTATAATTTAATGTAAACCGGTTTGATGGAGATGGAAAACCAAGGAAGGTCAGCCAAGCCATCCTTGAGGGGATCAGAGAAGGCTGAGGAGGAAGATGGGCTCACCCTCCATGTTCCGCTCGGTATGAAATCACTTGCAGGAGCCTGCACTCACCGGGCTTTGAAACCTCCGGACCTCTTTGTTGTCTCTTGGGAGTACTTCTCACCCTTCCTGTTCAGATGAACTCCTGAGCCTACTCAAGACCCAGCTCACACCTCCCGTGGGAGCAGCCTTCTCTGCTGTCCCCGGCAGCAAGAATCATTCCTTCCTTTATGCTGCCACAACCATGGGCTTCTTGAGGATGGGAGCTAACCGTGGTCTCCAAGGCTAACAGAGAATCGGGTACACAGCAGACGGTCAACAAAACGTTTGCTAAAACCTAGCTACACTTGCTATCTTTGGGGGGCCACGGGGGCCTAATTGTAGTCCTGGAGGCTTTCTTTTCACCTGATATCTTGACTTTCGGGATCTTGACAGTTGCCAGCAAAAGCTCAGAGCAAGTGGCTCCATGATGGGTGGAATATGAAGAGTGAGCTTCCCTGTCCAACTAGGTTCTTTCCCTTATGAGCGAGGGAAGTTGTGCCATTATTCCAGTGACGCAGGACATGCTTTTTACTTGTCTATTTCGTGTTTTCTTTAGACTCTAAATGTGGCCCCTAAACATCCATGCCTCTGTTTTTCTATATATTTTCCATGACAGTACAGCTTCGTCATTTAAAGGCAATGCATTGTTTGGAGCTCACCAAAATTATGTGGATGCAAATTTGGTAAATGATGAGTAAGAAAGCTTTTAGTGGGAAAAAAGAGATAGGGGCTCTACAGAGAGTTATTTTCTATGACTTGCGAACTAGTTCTGAACAGTGTCAAAGATGAGTTCCAAAAATGCATCCAAGTTTGTTCTCAACACTGGAATTAGTGTAATGTATGTGACATTTTTAAGTTCACAACACGTGGAAGAACAGATAGGGAGGTGTTCCAAAGTTGTGGTGATTTTCAGTTGTTCTGGCTGTGCAAATGACACCTCCCCCCAAAATACTATAGGTTGATACATGTGGCTATGTTCCCAAACAAAGACAAGTATTTATTTGTCTAAGGACTAATATAGCTGAACTATATAGGTCGGTTAGCACTAGTTTGAGTTCTTGGAAGAGACTTCTCATTCATTCATGGGTCTAGAAAGCCTTTTTGTAATGGTATTTTTCTCAGCTGCACCCACCCCATTCTTTAATGCCCCACTATTTCCCAGATCCCTAGAACCTTTCACTTCCTCTGGCCACAGCAAAAGACCCCCACAAATCACCATTTTCTGTTACCACTAAATCCAACTACCCATCCATTAGACTGTAAACTCCAATAGATCTTTAAATTTGTTAGCTCTAGCTAGTGTGGGGAGGAAAACAACCCATTGAGCTTACACTCCTCTGTGAATGACCCCGTCCCTTATCTCTCCCTAAGGTATTTGCATACTTAAAAGGAAAGCTTGTGAATTCAAATTATTCTCTTTGGGAAAGCCTCAATAGTGAAGCAAATGGAGAGGAAATATTGGAGGCTAAAGGTGGTAGGGGGTGGGAGTTGGGATTTAAGTAGGCCAGAGCTGCCTAGGACTGTGCCTGGAGGCGTTCTGCTTCTCAACGCCCCTCGAGCTCCATGCCTACACCACGTTGAAAAGCTTAGAGACGTCATCATGGCTGTCTGGACCGAGGCAATGAGGAGGGGGATGAATCAGAGAGGGCTGTTTGTTCTCACGTTGAGCTTTGGATGCACTATTTTTACCACTCCCCCTGTATTTCAAAGAGAGGTGTCCTAACCTTCTAGTTAAATAGACAGATCTCCTCAGGGTCACTTAATATTATTTGTGGATTAAAGGTTAACTCATTTACTTTCACTGTATGTAGATGCCATATTTTTAGCTTGTAATCTGACTTGAAACATATGCACATCTGACAATGAGCTGGGGTATAGTGTAAAAGAAAATTCTTTTTATGCCACTTTTATGTTCTGTAATATAGTCAGGTACTAGTGGTTTCTTTGTAGACATTGTGTCCTCCTCTCTCCCCCTCTCCCTCTCTCTCTCTTACACACACACACACACACACACACACACACACACACACACCAAAGCATCCCCTATATGCTTTCACTGAGACATATAAGCTTATTGGAAATGTAAAACTATTGAGGCTTTCCCAAAGAGAATAATTTGAATTCAGAATTCTGATTCTTGGTTTATGATATGAGGCTATAAAAAGGTAGAAGCTGACTTCAGTGTTTTCCAATTTTTTAATGCCAGAATTTTCTGTGGTGTCAATGTTCTCTGCTGTTTATCTAGAAACCCCTTCAATGAATCATTTACCTTTTAAAAAACACCACTCAAATATACGGGGCTGGGCAAAAGGTTTACAGTTATGAGTACATGAAATGTTTATTTTTATATTATTATTTATTAATTATTGTATTATTTATTTGTGTTACAACTACAAACCTACTTTTGCCCACCCTGTATGATGAAAGCCCAAACTAGTGCATTGCAATAAATGATAGTATAATGTAACAAATATTTAGAAAAATTATTACTAATGTAAGGAAAATAAATATTTTAGTGATTAAGTCTAGGATACTCAAACTTAGTTATGGAATACTTGTCGTAATTACCAAAATACTATTGATCACCCTTTTGTTCAAATAGAAATATTGTGATTATTAAAGACTCAGCACGACAGGTGGTGAATGAAGAGAAAGTATATTTTGCATAGTTTTGTAATTTTTGTTTACTCTAGAGTCCAATAATACAAAGTCATTTTACTCTGTTATCTATTATAAAACTATCTTTGGTTGATATAAGCTCCTTTCTTGATTTAAAAATAAATGTCATCTTTAACCTAATAAAATCACCTTAAAGTGTACAATCGTTGACAGCTTGCAAGAATTATAACTGCTCGGTGTTTTGCACATACAAGGTGCTTGATAAATATCTGTAGATCTATCTCCTAAAAGGAAAATTAGTAAAAGTCAAATTTATTATTTATTTTGCACCAGGAAGAGAAATAGAATGAGGCTTGATTATTTAAGGCTAGGAGATCATATGAAAGTGCTATTTTGCCAAAGAATGATTAAAACATTCCAGTCCTGACACGTTTAATAATGGGAACACACAACCTATTTCTTTGTTTCATAACCATCGCGCTGTCTCTCCCTTTTTTGGCGTGGCAACAAATGCAACAAAATCGACTCCATCTAGTTAAACTTTTTGATTTGGTCGTGGACGCGAAGTTCTGTCAACTAGGAGACAAGAAAAGCAATGCGGCGAGGCAGGATAAATGTACGTATTTGAAGTGGCATGCGTCCATTCTAAATAATGTCATGTGGGAAAATAATTTCAAGTTGAAGGATAATTACAGAGAGACCTCCGAACCCCTCGAGCCGCGGCCGGCCGCGGAGCCTGGGAAACCCTCGCCGTGGCCGGAGGACCGCTGCCGGCTCCCCGCCGCCGCTTCCTGCCCCGGGGCGGCGCACCCGGACTCGGGGAAGGCGCCGCGCGGGGAAACGTGGCACCCTCTCCAGCCCGCGCCCGGGGCGCAGCCGAGCGGCAGCCGAGCGCTCGGACGAGCCGGGCCAGCGCGGCCGTGCGGTAGCCGCGCACCGGCCGGCGGGAAGATCCGCCCGCAGAGCCGGCGCCCGCCCGCGGACGGGAAGTGGCGCCCGGCCCGCCCTCCGCTGCCCGCGGCCCCGCGGCCCGGCGGCCCCGCGCCGCCCCCTTTTTCTCGGCCTCTCCCTCGGCCTCCGCCACCCCGGCCGAATTCTTGCATAAATTATGCCAGGCGCGCCTGACGTCAGGTGGCGGCGCGCGGGCGCGGGCGCGGGCGCGGGCGCGGCGCGGAGGAGCCGGCGGCGGGCGCGCGCGGCGTGGCGGGGGCGCGCAGGCGCTGGCGTGCTGGGGCCGCGGCGGCGGCGGTAGCGGCGGTGGCGGCGGCGGCGGCGGCGCGGGGGTTGAGCCGTGGTAGTGCGGACGCGCTCGTGCTCGGGAACTATCGGATTAAACTTGAATCGAGTGAAATTACACAAAGGAGCGCCGCTGAGGAGGCGGCCCGGGGACCCGGAGACCCTGAAACTCGCCAGAGCCCCGTTCGCTCCCGGCCAACTCCGCGCCCGTGGATTCAGCCCCCCGGCCGCGGCCGCCCAGCCAACTCCGGAGCCTGCTCTGCGTTTTGTTTCTCCCTCGGCACCGGGCAGCGGAGGAGCCCGCCCGACCGACCGAGCCGGTGAGCACGAGAGTTCGCCGGGCGCCTGCGGGAGGGGCGGCGGCGGCAGGAAATCGCTCCGGGCCGGGGCCGGGGCCGCGCGAGGAGTTGGGAGCGAGGAGTTGGGCGTGTGCGGGGCGAGGGGCGAGGGGCGAGGGCGGGCGGGGGCCGGGGCCAGCGTAGGAGCGCAGCGCCGCCGGTGCCGTGTCGCTGGCGTCGCCGCCGGCGGGGCCCGAACCCGCGCCCCGAGCGCCGCCCGGCGCCCCAACTTTTGCCTGCGTCCGCGGGGCGGGGGCGCGCGGTCCGGCCGAGGGTCACTTCCTCGCATGTAAATGGCTTTTTGTTGTGCTGCCGGCTTCGGGGGGGGCGGGGGGAGACCGGAGGGAGCGTGTCTGCGCGCGGGGGAGCGCGAGCGTTTCCTCCCGCCGGCCTCGAGCACGAGTTGCCGGCTCCATTCGAAAGAAAAAGGAAGGAGGAAAAGTTGGGCTCCAACTCCAGTGCGAGTGGGCGATGGGCGCGCGGGCGCGGGGCGGCTGAGCGGCGGCGGCGGCGGCTCGGGGACGGCGGCGACCCCCGCCTCCCGCCCCCGCCCCCCGCTCCGGACCGACCACGCCGCGCTCGCCTGGAGCGGCGGCCGCACCGGCGCGAACAAAGTGCGTCCCTCCTGGCGAGGCGGCGCCGCCCGCGCGGGGACGGCCACCGGGCGAGGTGGGTCGACGGCGGGGAAAGTGCGCGGGGTGCCGCGTGGGGCGGGGGCCGCGTGAACACGCGGTGCTGGGGGCGTCCCGGTCCCAGTTCCAGCCCCGGCCCCAGCCCCAGACCTTGACGGCCGCGGGCGCGGAGTTGCGAACCCGGGGCCTGGGGCTCCCGGGGCTCCCTGGCGGCTCCCAAGTACCCGAGGAGAAGAAAGGGAGCGGGGCCAGGGAGAGCGCGGCGCGGCGCGGAGGGGACCCCACCTTGCTGAGCTGGCCGGCCCAACGGCGGCGGCGGCTGCATAATAGCGACTCTAACCCCCCCCCCCCCCGAAAGCAACTCGGCTCCCCCACCCCCGAGCCCGCCGAGGTGGGGGTCACCAGGTGGCCCCCGAGGTGGCCCGGGTGCGCTCTGCCCCCGCAGAAATCCTCGGTTCGGAGCGTGAACGGCGGAGGTGGCCGGAGGCCAAGCGGTCAGCGGGGAGAGGAAGGAGGGCGGCAGGGGACGCGTTGTTTGTTTGGTTCGCACCGGGGACTGAGCTCGCCGGGGGTGCGGGGGCGCAGGCACCCCGTGGGCTGCGGTGCCGGGCTCAGCGTCCGCTCGGGGCCAGCGCGGCCCGGGGGCGGGGGGAGGAGGGCGGCTGACCCGGGGCGGGAAGGGGGGGGGGGGTCGGGAGGCTCCGGGGAAAGAGCCGCCGGCCCCGAGCAGCCATCATTACCGAGCCGCCTTTCTCCGAATGGCTCTGCCTCGAGGAGCCCAGCGCCGTGGGAGCGCACCCCAAACTCCCGGCCGGCCGCCCGCTTTGTGAGCGCCCCACCGGAGCGGGCGGCGCGGGGAGTGCTCCTGCTAAGGGTCGGACGGTTTTCCCGGAGGTCACTTTTGGAGATTGTTCACGCCTCGATTTTAAACTAGTTTTCCCCTCTTCTGAACAGACAATGGACAAAAGAAAAGTGGCAGCCCGCATGGAGAGTTCCTTCTGAACTGCTAGAATTAGACACACTCTCCAGCTCCCCACTCGCTGGGCGCACTTTTTGGTCCCCATTGTATATTATCCCACAGCCGGTTTCGAGAACTTACCTTGAAACACGTTCATCTTCTGGGCTTGATTTCTGGGATGTATTGAATATTTTAATTTATTTTTAAAGGCTTATGTAGGAGAAGGCCCTGGTTTTTATTTTTTAAACATATTAATTTAAGCCGTTTTTGCAGTGGGCAATGCCTTTCACAGAGGTTGAGTGTATTTTCTCTCAATCCTCTCCTAATAAGGGGAGGGGGAGCACTCACTAGACGTAATAATCAAGTAGGAAAAAAACTTGCCTTTATTTCCTCACAGACCTATTCTAACGATGACAAAAATCTTAGTGACTGTGACCTTAGCAGCTCGGGAACCTGCTTTTTCCCAGTTATATTCCATTTAGATTGTAGTAATGTGTAAGTACTGGGTCATTCTTATTTCAGAAATAACTTGAGCAGTGATTTCATGAAGTTGAATCGTCTCCCAGCCCCCAGAGTACATCTGTCGCGGAGTGTTTTTGTCTTGCTGTTGCACAACAGAGCCCTACAGTCTTTACCCTAAAATGGCAGCTTTCATTTGACTGGGGCCCATTCATTGACAATGATAATAAAGAGGCTGAAAGCTAGATGCTTGGGGCACGTGGTTTGCCTTTCTAGGTGATAATAAGTAGGAGACATTTTATGTCTTCCAGATTTGCTCAGGAAAAGTTTATTTTCCCTGAAAAAAAATCTGTAATGTAGAAAAAAAGTTACTGAGTAAACAATTTGGAAGTGGAAAGCGGCTTGCAGCAAGTTTTAGGAATTACATTTTCTTATTTTGCTAAATAGTTGAAATATGGCATCTCTCTCCCCCTCGCACCCCGTTTTGGTAACCTGATAAAGGGACATAATGGATCTTTGGGGGCTTTAACAGGTGAATGTCCTCACCATGCCACTCAGGAATTGTTTTCTAGCATTATGGACTTTATTATTTATATTTTCTTGATATTTTTCATTTTTTTCCCTCAGTGCAAGCCAGAAAATTGAAGCTTGATGAATTCTATTCTATGTTTTTTGAGATTAAAATGAGTTTCTAGATAAGAAATGAATAATAATAATAAAAGACTGGTATGTAAATTCCAAATTCTAGTTATATTGTTTTAATCAATGGACTTATTTTTAAATTAATTTTAAAAATTACTTTTCAGTGTCTTAATGCAGAAGTCAAGGTAGAGAAATGATACAGGTTGTGTATAGGTAGGTAATGGTTGAAAACTCAAACATTACTTTCCTCTTTTGAGGAAAAACATACGCCGCCCCCCCCCCCCAGGTGAAAATATAGAAGTCATGTTTAAAATAACTCCTGTAGTAACTTAATTTAAAAATAGTACATAAGTAGAATCACCTGCACTTGATCTAGTTTTTAATCTGTTCAACTTACAGGACCAATTCCAAACTTTTTTCATGAGAGTGTTACTGAAGTTGAGTTAAAATGAATACATGAGGAGTACGTTTACGTACTGTATCAAAGAAATGTTACCATATTTTTTCCTACAGATACAGTCAATATAATGTTTACAGTGCAGTTTTTAAGCAGTGGTATCAAGAGAAAAATAATATTTTGCTCAAAGAGCGAATGCAGTCTGAGTGCACTTATGTACATGCTGTGTAACTCATAAGAACAACCTACAGGCCAAGGTTAGAGTCATTATTTCAAACTTAGGCTTATAGCATTTTATTCCCAATGCTTAAGAAAGGCTGCCTGCCGTCTTCTCCCTGTAGATAACTTGGATTCAGCCACCACTGGCAAGCTTTCAGCGTGTGAACGACAAACGAAGGGACAGTGCCTTCCCTCAGAGAGTTTACCGTCTAGTAGGAGAGAGGATTCTATAGGTAACCAAATACGTTTCACTTTTAAGATTAGCTTTGGAGGTAGTGGTTACCTTTTGTCCTTTGTTATCCATAGATGGCCTTTTGAGTTTGATAGCAGACACCGTGGCCATCTTATAAACATCTATAAATAAGGCGTCACAAGAATAAAAAATGCTTAGTCAGGGCTGAGCAAAGTGACTGCAGAACAAAAAGGCCCTTAAAGCTTTAGCTTTGTAATAAAGTGTTTTACTTCCAGTATTCAAATGCTTTATAGATGTAAACAGACAAACGCTAAAATAGATATAGGTCACATAGCTAAATTCACTAAAAAAGCATGGAGAAGGAGCCTTTTGGGTGATACCGAGATGATGTCGGATACACATTGGCCCTGTGTGACTCTGTCTTTTTCATTCACATGGACACATTTGTGTATCTTTTTTTTTTTTTTTTAACAAACTATTTTACTTTTTATGCTATTAGAAAATCAGAATTTAATATTGTATCTTACCAGATTTCTAAAGCCACTATACCTTTGTTAGTTTGAGTCAGAAATTATTTTTCCCCCCGCTAGGAAACTTTATTATTTTGTGTTAGTTCTAAAAACAAAACAAAACACAAGAACCCTACTATTTAAAGGTGATGGATAATATAGAATATAAAATAAATTGTGAGTAAATGATCACTTAATTTTCCTACAAAAACCTGAAGATGTGATGACTTACTTTAATTTGGGTGTTCCTCAGGTCAGGTTGCAATTATGGCAGAAGTCCATAGCTGACTGTGGCGGTGGTTAAGAGCTGGGAAGGTAATTAAAAACACTACTACTGCCCTTTTATTATTTTACTTGTATCAATATATTAAACACCTTAAAGGAAATTTCACCTGTAGGATACAAATAACAGTAATAGGAAATCATAACGATATTGTGAATAGAAATTTATCTTACAATCATTAATGAATCTTTGGATATTTAGAGTGTGAGAGACCTTAGAGAGCTGGTCTAACTTTCTCATTTTACAGAGTAAGAAACTAAAGCCCAGGGAGATTAATTAAATGAGTTGCCTCTGGCTGGTCACCCAGTTATTGTGGAGCTATCTCCGTTTGCAGCTGTCTTCCCGTGCCTAGCTCAGTGCTCGTGCAGGGCCCGTGCAGGGCCGGCCCGGGGTTTGTCTCTGTAGGATCACTGAGCTGGTGCTGGCAGAGTCCAGCTCTCTCCCTCTTATGTTCTGACTCAAAGTACCTTTTGGGTTAAGAATCCTACAACATCTGCTAACATAGCCCCTAAAGGTATTCTTAAGCCAACAGTAATTTATTTGCCTCGACTGCGGAAAGGTTTGGAGGGGTTTTTGGGAGGGGGACAGTGGTGGTGTTGATTATCCATCTAAAAAAAATGCAGAGATAATTATTCCAGGATTTGATTACTGTTTTCACTTTAGAAGCATGTATTCATTACCATAACTTGA